TTTTGTGTTTTTTGTGAAATTGTCGAGGGAGCTGGGCATTCCCTTAGAGAGACTGTGAGGAGTTTAGATCATTCAGGAAGAAGATGTACACATGCTCAAGATGACCTGATGAACTTCAAACCGAGCCCTGGAAAAGGGGAAGAAAGGTGATTTAGGGGACTCTGAATGTGGCGTGGCATTTTAGAAACTAATCTACTGGGATTTTTCCACACAGCTTTCTGTAAGGTTTAGAATTGTCTGAAAAAGAGGGAAAATCCAGAAATTGGCAGTTCTGTTGATGGCAGAGGTTAGAGGAGAATGGCCCGACTGCTTTGAGCTGACAGAAGGGGTCTGCATAAGGGCATCTTTGAACATCTTAAACTGGTTTCTTGATCATGACAGTGAGTTCATTGTACTTAAATGCAGTCACCAGATCTCAGTGCACCTTTGGGATGTGCTGGAATAGGAATTTTGCATTATTTGAACAAATCTGCAGCAACTCTGTGATCATCTATCATGTCGTTATGGATCAAAGTCTCTGAGGAATGTTTCGAGAAACTTGTTGAATCTATACCACAGAGAATTAAGGCAAGTCACAAGGCAAATGCAAGGGGAATTATTGCACATCACATGGGTAACTTACAGTTCTATGAAGGCACTATTAATGCCAAATTATATATGTGACTTTTGGGTTTTGAATCAAAACATGCTGCCATCCAATAATGTTAAACAGACTATATTTATATGTCTATCTACTTCTGTTGCCATCCAAAGATGCATTGACTATTCCAGCAAGACAGTGCCAAAACACACTGTGTATATTAGTGTGTTTGCATGCAACTGAAAAATATCAGCCATCAAAAATATGTACCATGTTATTAAGAAAGTACAAGGAAGAGTCTGAACTCAACCACAAATTGGAATTAGGCTTTTAAAACTACACAACCTGTATCTTCAGATCTTTATACTACCATTAAATGCCCAATTTGTAAAAATATTTAGAAGCATGTTGAACTCAGCAATGAGTCATTAAAAAATCTAAAACTTAACCTTTCATTTGTGTAATAATTTTTTTCAATATTTTAAAATGTTACATAGTCTAACATGAATCCTACAGGTTAAGCAAATTAGAGCCGTATGAGCAGAATCCTCTTTTCTGAAGTCTATTAAGTAAAGGCTGTGTTCCAATACCCATTTATATCTACCTTTATATGAATGTGATGCTTGCTTGCAGAGAACCATTGATGAATTCACAAACAGTTTTTCAGGAAACGCCACATACTAGCTCCATTTCCCCACAATAAGCATTCCCCCACCGCACTGGATTTAGAAAGGAATTAGCATGTGACGGTCGCCTAAGTTGGCTCCTATTTCTATGAGGGGAGATAATGGGGATTCTGTGTGGCTTATTTCCATGCAGAGACACCTTTGGCCCCAACAAAACACAGCGGTCTCCACAGTTACTTTGCAATTTCACGCAGAGTGCCTGAGAGGCATAATGGATTCTCTACCCCTCTCTGGCACTCACAGCCAGCTGCTGTCTCAGTCGTCACCACTGCATTAAGGCCGTCCAAATGAGGGAGAGTCCCTTTGTAAAGTGAAAAAAGAAGGGAAAAGAAAAGCTGTGAAGGCGAGAGGAAGGAGGGGTGGATGGCAAGATGGAGAGCCTCAGTGCATTCAGACAGATTTGTGCTGCATTTTTTTTCCTGCTTTGAGAGTTTGTGGAAAAATGAGTGCAACTTAAGGTAAGAGGTAAAGTATAGGACTATTTCAGAGCGGTGTAGCGTGTAGGAATTACACTGCTAACACCTTTGGCCTTGGCTTGCCCTTTTATAATGACAAAAGCAAGTAAGCCTTTTAGTGATCTCACCTTGCTGGCTGAGAGTGGACTGGAGGGGGGTGGGGTCTGTGAGGAGCAATGAAAGCTCAGTTTTCAGGTAAACCCGCCTGTAGTTTCACAGCGTGACAGTCAGGCAGTACAGAGTTTACAACCAAGGCAACTGCAAGCTCACAGACAAAATACACAAGAGCCTTTAAGGCTTTCTTGGTAGAGAAAGATCAAAGATTTTTTTAAAGCATTAAACATGCAGCCTCCTGTTTATCCTCGAGGCCTGAGCACTAAAACTAACAAGTGACCCAATTCAATAGTCCATAGAGACTTCGCCTGTGAATCTATAAAGAATCCAGATATATGAAAGTCCTATTAATATACTAGTCAACTCAAGAAACGTCATGCAGGACTGTTTTAAATAACAAATTAAAACTTCTTTTCCAAAAATCTGGTATCCTCTCCAAAAGAAAAGAACAGAGTGCAGTGAATTTCCAGTTAGTCAAATCTCATATATAATTATAAATAATTACCTGAAACTAAATTCTGAAAGAAAGAAAAAGTTTTGATGCCAGCAATACATTCTTAAAATGCGCATACACAGGCAGCAGTCAGTACATAAAGTCATATTCAGAATTCTGTACACTAGTGTCAAGGTTGAAAATCTATTCTGAATTTAGCAATTTAATGTGTTTTGTACATGGGTAATTTTTTGGGGGGGACAAATAGAGCATAAACAGATTTTCGTAACATTTATTTTGTGTAAGTATTTACTTGCTTTCACTTGACTCTGCTCTGATCAGCTGTTTGATGCGTTTGTGGCGTTCCAAATACATGTTTCAACAGGAGAGGACGGCTGGATGAAGGGCGTTTTTTTTTTCGTCTCTACTTTACTTTTAAAATTTTCATTCGTCGGCTGTCACAACTGCCAATGCTGATGCAGACAGATCAGCAGATAGCCAACATTGGCTGGTAACATCAGGTACCAGCCGACTGCTGTTCACAAACGCTGTCCATCTAATCTGACTGAGCTGAATGGGCAAGAATTTCAGTCTCTAGATGTGCAAAGCTGGTAGAGACATATCCTAAAAGACTGGCAGCTGTAATTGCAGCAAAAGGTGGTTCTACAAAGTATTGACTCAGGGGGCTGAATAATTACACACACCCCACTTTGATTCATGTTTGTGGCTGTAATGTGACAAAATGTGGAAAAGTTCAAGGGGGCCGAATACTTTTGCAAGCCACTGTACCTTGAAATGCCTTAACACATCTATAAAACTTTCCTCTTTACAGATTTCAACGACCATCAATACTTCATTGCCACGGTGTCTCTTTAACCATCCCAGAATACTCCAGCAGCTGTATGCCGAGAGTATATTGCCAGGCAGATAAATACCAACCCTAGAGGCTATGCCTATAATTAGGCCTTTCTATTACCATCTTTAGTCTTTCACTTTAGACAGATTTCCTGTTTTGAAGTTAGGTGTGCAAAACGTCACATTTTAGGCGACCCGGATGTTTTGCCGACACGATGCCAGTGTGTGTTTAGAGCCAAAACTTCACTTGGGAAGTGATGAACGGCTCCTGCTAATGCACTGTCGGATATAACATGAAATACTATCAGGGTTTTTTTTTTTTAGCTTGAGACTAACATATGTGAAGTGCATTAGTGACGATTTATGTTTATGTACAACCTAAGTATAAGGAAAAAAAATGCTTTCTTTCAATGTGCTATAAACAGAGCATTAATATTGACACATTAATGCTCTCTTAAATCACGGGCTGAGGAAGTAACGATACTCACAATTTTTCCAAAGCAAATAATCCAAAGAAGGATCCATTTCTGAGTTCTTGAATCTTGTTGTTGCTTAAAATTCTGCAGAGAGAAAAAAAAATATATGTGTGAACGCAAAGCAACAGATATTGACTCACACAAAAGACTGCATAATGATTTCCAGGCTGTTGAAATAAAAACATTTTACTGTGCAATGTCAGTAAAGCAGCCGCGGTGCCAAAACATCAGCGAGGAATGTGTGCTAATGAAATGCAAAGGTGGAATCAAAAGGATCGAGTGTCTTTTTCAAAAGCAAATGGATTCATCATGACAGAGTGCTACTTGTTGACAGATAACAATATTAACTCAACTTCTTTTTGCTCTAGACACGCTTAGCATCCAGTCACACCAGGTTGCTTTCTGCCAGGAAGAGAGCTGAAGAAAAGCAACTCCAACTTTAGCTGAGTGTTTCTTTCATGTCAAATTGGCAGTGTCTGGTAGCCAAAGTGGGATTAGGAGTAAGCTGGCTTGACTTTATAGGTAAAAGTAGCGCAATCTAATCGGCAGCCACGATGACTCATTGGTGGCATACTCGCCTCAAAGCTGTCACACAATTAGACAGTGCGGGGAGACGTCCTTATGAGAAGAAATCCCTGTTTATGGAATGAACACCCAAATATTCATCTCATATTTACAGCTAACACTGTATTAAAAGCAATGTGGTTAGAGTTAACAGTGGTCCAATTTAAATGCAACTTTGCCAATTAGTTGTTTACCAAAACAAAACTAGAAAAAAAAGGAAGAGAGAGCCCGAGAAAGTCTAAAACCTAAATCTAACCTAAGTGTGAATTCTTGATAGCTTCCTCTCGGGGTAATAAACAGCATTTTATTATCTAGTTTATTTTCCCAGCCGAGCTAACTCACAGCAAGGAAAGCTCCAAGCTAATTGCCCGCTTTCTGCTCCCGTGTGTCCCTCCCAGTTATGGTCCTTCTTTAAAAGTACTCCCAAAGAGTGCGGGAGCAGGGACGTGTGGTTAGCATGGAGGGGAAACGGTGGGTGACATACATGCTTAGTGGCACCCACAACCCGGGGCCAAATTGGAGTCATTACGGGGCGTCGAGGGGCTGTTTTATTACAGGGTTGCACAGAGGAGACTCTCTGGAGTTTGTTGTTTGGCTCCCTGCCGTTCAGAGAAAGTACGCACATAAAGAGTTCCTGTTTTCCAGGCTTCTGAATGCTGAAATGGCAAATGTTAAGACTCGATGATGTACAAGACTGCAAACTCTGTTCACTGCCTGTGTGCACATGGTCCGATGATACAGCCGCAGATGTTGGGTCTCTCGTCACAAAAGTCTAATTCATACGTGAAATGCATGGAATACCAAATGGATGAAATCCAGCTTTAGCAATGTGGGGCTTAATCAGCAGAATACAGGGGATGGACAAAAACACCTTTCAGTACACTAGCACTCCAATAAATGTAAGGCTGGGGAAATTTATTATGTTTGGCTACTTCTTTGTAGCATTTCTCATGTTGGCTGGATCGTCACACTACAAAAAGAGCATACGCAAGATTTGATTCCTTTAATACATTTTTTAAAGGAATAATAATAAAACTGAAAAGAGCTGAAGTTGAAGATTCATTCAAACCTTGGAGCAGGATTATTTTTGACTCACACAATTTTAGAGTAAAATGAAAGAAGCACAATATGAAAGTTCAAGTGCCTCAAGAGACCTTGGGACCCAAATTTCTTTCCCCAAGTTAGTCTTCAGAAGAGCCTTATGAGCAAGATTAAGCATGGTTGCACATGGTTGTAAACTTCATCAAAGAAACAAACAAATAAACAAACAAATCTGCAATGCAAAAATCAAAGTCATAACCTTCCAAGTATACACTAACCCACCTCAACCTCAACCAGTCGCTAGGGTGGATCAGCGATGCTTTTAGTTAGAGCTTTTCAGGTTTGTAGAAAAGCCTTTGAAAAAACACTATATTTAAAGTCTCCCATTGGTATTCACTAACAGCAAGAAGGTCCTGGCTTCAAATCTACCAGTCGGCTTCCCTTTCTTTGGGGAGTGTGCATGTAATGCACATACATATCTTTCACTGTACTCCAGCTTCCTTCCAAAGTCCAAAGATATGCATGGGTTAGATAATTGGCTAATCTACATTGGCTGAAAGAATGGTTGTTTGTCTTTCTGTGTTAGCCCTATGGCAAATTGGCAACCTGCTCAGGGCTGGGATAGGCTCCAGCCCACCAGTGACCCTGAACTGGATAAATGGAAGGAAATGGGTGGATGGAGAATTCCCTGATGAGAATCTTGACAAAGGGGTTGGGGGTAAAACCTATACCTCCTGAGTTGGGCATTTGAGAAAAGTAGGATTTTAGGCATGAAATTCTAAATACGTGATAAATAAATACATTTAAAGGGTAAACATGTGTGTGCATGACTACTCAAACAATGCCCAAACCTTCAGTGCAGGCAAAAGAAAACCTTCATCACCAACATCATCAGAGGTTATGTAAAGCATCAAGAATTAGGTTTGGCTACAAAACTGCACATTTAAAGCCCTGTAAGTCTTAAGTCATCCAAATAAACCTATAAAACAGAGTTCTCCTGAGAGTCATGCATACTTTTCTTGGCCTCTCTTCATTCCTCCCTTCTTTGCCTCTTTTGCTAGCTTTGTCCCACCCTCTTCCTCATGACAGGAGTGTGACCTCGCCACATTAGAAACCGCTTGGGCTGCAAAGTCCTCTCTGCACTCTTGCATTCATGTGAAAGCCTTACCACTGCAGACTAGATAAATAATATGTATAGAGCAAAGCCTCGAGTCTCCATAGAGATCACGGCCATTTAAATACTAGTCTTCACTGGCCTCAGGACATGTGTAGTTAGATCGTCTGCTTCCCTGCTGTCTGTCTCATGAAATCAGCCTGAGGTCGCCAGACAAAGGACCAGTCTGTGGAATTTCTTCAGTCTGTGCTTCTAACAACACATGAGGGGAGTCTTGCTTATCTTGATGCATAGATAAGACCTGCTTGAGCTCAAGCCAGGAACAAGCTGCTAGGGGAGTCTACAAAATCTCACATCCTGTCTACTGATACAGATGGTATAAATCTCAATGACATTTATGGAAAAACCTTCTCTAAAAACAGAATTTCCACTCTTAGTCACAAGTAGTATAAAATGCACTTGTCTAGATTAAATCTCATTCGCCATGTGAGTAAAAACTACACTAGTGAAAGGCAATTTTTACATTGTGCAGCGAGGGAGTGAAACACACAAAATGGCCAGCCACTGCTAAGTGTGCAAGTAGCCACGTAGTGTTTCAAGGACAAAGCCCTGGAGTTCTCCCTACAGGTTCTTTATATTCAAGAGGCTTTTGGACAAAAAACCAGAGCGTGGAGATCTGTAACCCTTCAGCAGGTTTTCAAATAAGATTCAGGCTGCAGATGGGTTCATAAAAACCCTTCTAGAGTGACTTCCTCTGAATATAGTGCATGGAAAAGTAGGTCTGAGTTCAGGTGGGAAAAGGACCTGGTCCAGTGGCTGAGGTGCTCTCATGTGCCAATGTAAAGATTTTCAGCTCTTTATTATTCTACAAAAAAAAATCAAAGTATGAAGACTTTTTTCTGGAATATTGTGTGAGAAAAATGGACGACATAAGAGTGAAAAAAAAAAAAATGTAGAAAACATAAAAGGTGCAGTGATTCATCCGAACTGGCAAGCTCAAAAAGGCACATGTCATACACCCTCTTTTTGCAAATTCATCCTTGTAAGTCATTGGTATTAAAATATCTTCTTTCAGCTTTGAACAGGACAAACCATTAGAGTGTGGTATTCACCTTATAGCTCTGCAGCTGAATGGAAAAATGATCCGCCGTTCAAACACCAGGGTAAAGGGAAAAAAAAGGGGGGCGAGCAGGAAAATGAACACAGACGTGTAGGCACCGCACAGCACGTAGCTCGTGTTTACACACCGAACTGAATTGCTTGTCTGGGATTAAGCGATACTTGAGGCAACCTGACAAAGTCAAAGCTCAACTGGTCTGCGAAATGAAAGCCTGCAGACTGACTTTCTGCGCAGCTGTCAGTGAATGCCTCGCCTTTGGGATTTTACCCTCTTCTGCAAACACTTCAGAACTACTATTTAAAAAAAACAAAACGGGAGCATTCCTTGAGACCAACGGTTTGCTCGGAAAGCACCAAAAACAAATCCTCTTAGGACATGCATGACAGCAAGCACCTGCACTCTCCTCGCACAAGCACTTTAAAATCTCTCAGCATGACATGGAAAAATTGATGAGACGACTGACGTAAGTACAGAGATTGCGCTTTGGACCAGAATTTACAATCACGCTAAAATCTAAAGGGGAAACAACTCCACGGAGCTCGACTTAAAGGAAATGAAATCACCAGATGAGCCTACAGCATCCAGGTCTGCACTACTGCGAAACAAGACAGTTTATTGCACTCAAATGTGTCATCAAATCAGAGTGTGATTTTTTTCTGCCATGAGGGAGGAAATCCCTGTTTTTTTTCCAGACATTAATCCCGCGCTGCTCTGTAGCGGCCAAAACCAGGTGCACGCATTTTTACAGTCTGATCCAGGTGCTCCTGTGAATGGATACTTTTTTTTAAATATATATGCACTAAACAAGCATTGTAAAGAAATATGAGCTTGGTGAATACTTCACGTCTAGTTTCTTCCTGTCTGTGTGGATACAGAGGCTGAAACTTATACAGGTACACAGAAATAAATGCTCACACCCATGCATACTACTCAGACAACCCTTAAAATAAAAGTTAAATTCAACCAGTCGTATATTAGCCGAGGGCCCACGCTGACACGGGAGGACGGGCCAGCTGTAAACACATTTGTGTCATTTCCTCTCGGATTACTTAGGCATGTGGTATCACTGGGAGAGCACAAATGTGAGGAATGTATTACTCATTTTTTTTTCTCTACCGAGAGGCATTGAGAGCAGAACTAAACCGAGTAACTACACAAACTCAGTTTGAGGACGAGGCCAATAACACCAAGCATTCAAGTAGGGTAAGACGATAGCTAATTTAGCTGTACAACTGCTCATGTGTAAACAGCGACGATTAAAGTTAGACTTCTGGTTGTTCTACTCTTACGCATGGCAACTTTTCTGGAATGAAGTCAAGCCAATTATTACTGTAGTTCAGCGAGTTCAAAGTCTAAAGAGTTTTTGACAAACTTCCAAAAGAAATGTGCTTACAGGTCAAAGCTTTTTTTCTTTTTTCTCACGTGAAAAGCTTGGATTACATTTTAAATTTGTTAGAAGACCCCCCAAAGAGGTAAATCAGAAGTACAAAGGGGTGGAATTAGTATGACAGATGGGTTTCTAATCATATCTAGCTTAACATGCTGTTTCTGACAAGAAAGACACCATGCCATCAATCACTTCCTCGACAATATAACTGACGCCCAAAGGGCCAGAGTAGGTGAAGGACATTACTGTGTATTAACCTCAGAGGGGCACTGAAAATGATGAAATTTTAAATATTCCATAAAAATTTATCCAAAGCGAGAGATTTGGCAGGAAAGCCTGCTAAAGGGCCATTTAGATACAGATCTATTAGCCTCGCACACCTCGAGGAATCTCATCTGTGAATTTCCGGACATTATGCCCAGTATTATCGCTGCATGAACAGACAAAGTAAGAGCAGCTGAAAATGTTGGGATTAGCTTTGGCTTAACAAGGAGAAACGGGGATGATCATTTTCAAGACTGGGAAAGGGTTCTCACACCAGCCGGGACTCCTGCGAGGCCAGCTGCGTCTCCTGAGAGAGGTCGCTGATTTTACAGGTTATAAATTGCCACCCAAAAACTTTGCAGTCAGCATAAACTGTCATTTCATTGCCACTCATGTCTGCAGGGAACTATGAAGACAGTTCCACAAGTGCAGGGTAGTTCTACTGTTTTCCAACAATAGACGACAACTGCTTCCCAGAAAAACAAACGTGGGACGACTGAATAAAATCTTTCGCGTTCATGGCTGTTTTTGGTCGAGCTCTCAAATTACATTGCTCTTGTTCTTTGGAGCTCAGCGCTAAATCATGAGCAACCAGGCTCAACCTCCGATCCATCACTGTCAGAGCGTGATGAGAGAGTACAAGCTCACTGTAGACATAAAGACAAAGCAAACAGAAGGGAGGGCCCACTACATTACTTCAGAGCACACCATACCTAGTACTAATTCCATAAATCCTTCCTGAAAATAAAAATAAAAGCTGTGGAATTTATCTTTTTCTTTTTTATTCAAGAGCCATACAAGTGTTTTATTCCAGTTACGACGGATCTTGTCTACTTGTCCATTCTGTTTACCATTCTTTAAGCTAAACTACAATGAGACATCCCATGGTCTGTGCAGGTAATGGTAAATCTGCCCTAACACTAATAATTCGCACACAGTAAACTCACCCATATGATCAATTCCTGTGTTAGCGAGAAGCTTGAATATGCGGTTTGATTCTACCGACCAATAACATCACAGCAGGCATGTGCTGGAGTAAATTTGGACTCCTCGTGGCTTCTTGATGCTGTACAGTAAAGATAACAACTGACACACAATATGAATGCTTTGTTTAATGGGACATTTAATCATAAGGACAAGCGTACAGTCTCTGTTTTTGGATCAGTGCTTTTGGTAATAACACTTGGTTGAATGACTGCCAGGTGTGGAGCTCCACCCAGGATAGACTATACAGGCCTAATTTGGATGTTTTTTTGGGCTCCAGTTACTTGATAAAATTACTCTGGACATAAACCCAAACTCCAAACTTAACAACATCCTTGAAGAAACTATGCTCATGGGCTGGTTTTCAAGTCTCATATAACACAAGAAAGTTTCAAATATCTGCAAATGCAGTCGAGTCCTGTTCTGAAACAAATACAAACTAACATTTTTTTTAAAACATGCGCCTTTGGAAAGTGCCTCAAATCTAACAAGTGACTTATGGTAAAGCTCTTAAAAAAACATGCACTGCAATCGTCTTACAACTCTTTATTACCAGCCAATCCTCTGCCTTTCTTTCCCTCCTGGTAGTCCATTATTTGCTTTCCACTCCTGCACCCTGCCCTGGTATTCTCATATTTCCTCCATTGCACACCACCACCGCAAAGTACAAGAGCTCTGGGGTGCACGCAGCTTCGACTTACTGTCAAGATTATTCAAATTCCTTTTTATTTATTTTTCCCTGTCAAATGCTCAGTGATGGACCAAAACCAGAGTGTCAATTGGTTAAATCTGCTCTGACTTGACACAACACAAAGGCCTCAATCAATCAGCAGCTTGTGTCTCAGTGTGCGTTTCATCCCTGCAGACTGCCACACAAAGACCAGCAACTTTAATCAATGACACTGATGGAGAGGCAGTGGTTGCACAGCCTCAAAGCCTGCTTCTGATGTAAGGCCATATTACTGTAGTGGCTACCTACCAACAACCTAAAACTAAACTTTAAAAGTGTAATTCTTGAAGAAAAAAAAGGCACCTGGCTAGTGTTAGCCAGGTGTGCTGTCAGGATCTAACCACGCCAGAGTAAAACCAGGTGGAAAAAGAATCACATCCATAACCTATGAGCTCTTACATTTATGGTGGCATGTGTGCAATTTAGCAGCCTCTGCATAAATCACTGCATAACAGGAAGGGGTTACTGTTACACAAGGTTAGTATTTACACTGCTATTTACAGTATATAGCTGTGAAATGATAGTTTGTGGTCGGCTTATCAAGATATATTTATCTTTTCATGTTTGTGCAGTATGAATAAGGGGGATAAGATGGTTATTAAGACGTCGCAAACAGTTCCAGTAACATTAACTTTCAGGAAAGAAACAGTCCTTATTGAGAATAAAGTGAATCTAGTGGCTGATGGGATGTGTTTTCACAGCATGCATCTGTATGTGTGTACTCACAGTGTCACTGTTCTGTTCGGGAAAGAGAGAGTGTCCGGGGGCAACACCTGATGGAGCTCCATGTTGCTGCAGACCACTTTCTTGTAGGACGGCACGATTTTCCCACCGCTTTTCGAGTTTTCATCAAACGATTTGCACGCGGATGATGCCGCCGAGCCACAGCAGCCGCTCAGCAGCAGCAAAATCCCAAACAACTGCAAACGATCCACCCTCATTTTTAATTCACACGCGGCCAGAAAAGCACTGCAGCACCGGCGAAGGAAACAATGTTTTGATAACAGAAACGGCGGGCGGGTAGATGTTGCTAGAACCGGGAAAAGAAGAATGAGACCTTTGCAAGTATGTTGTTTGGCTCAAGCGAGCCTTCCTCCTCCATTTCTCGCAAGGCTTTCCCTTTGCTCGGCGGTGTTCAGTCCGACGGGGGTGTCCTTCTTTGTTTGGAAAACGACTCATTTAGAATTCCCTTTCCATGCTGGCATCGGCTTCCATTTCCTCCCAGCTCTGCAAATCTACCACATTTCAAATGCCGAGTATCCTCCCTGGTAGCTAAATAACTAGCCCAGTTGTTGAGAGGTTCCCTTTGTTGCCCATAGCGTGGGTCCAAGTCAGTGTGTTGTCGTATCCAAAGGAGGCGGCTGCAGTCATCCCAGGTTATCCGCTCCCAACTTCAGGAAACGCGGTCGGGCTTTTTTAACGCTCACTTTAAATTTCCCATTACTTCGAAACACGTACGGGACGACAAACAAGCGTGCAAACTCTCGCCCCGGTCATGAACAGGAAATTACTTTGAGGGAAAAAAAACAGAGCGCAAAAACAACAACAGTTTTAGCTCAAATTGTGCTACCAATGAGGGGAAAAATACACTAAAAACTGTATAATAACGTATCCAGAGTAGTCGGCGTGTCCGTTTTGTTAACCGGTGTCTTTAGAAAAGATTTAAAACTAGCCTTCTTTCCATTGAGAAGTCCTACTAGTCCCATGGTCCTGCCCCGGGAGCCACTAAAGTCAGGGGCGGTCAAGTCCGAGCAGATTCCAAACCACATCCGGTCCGCATTTCATAATAAAAGCACAAGGAGGTGACTTCCTTTGAGTTTGGGGGATGATTGCGTCTACGAGGTTCATTGGTTGAACGCAAAGGAACTGTTAAAAGTGTCTTTTCTGGATATGTACCTGTTGCACATCACCAGTTACATGTAAAACTATCAACATAAGTAATATAGCATTTAAAATATAAACCTGCGATATAAAAATGCGATAAGGGGGTATATTCCCACCATAAAAAATATGGTGGACATAAAAAAAAATACTGCTGTTGCAGGACTAAAAAAAGTGAGTGTTTATGTTTTTCTTGTTAATTTTATACAGGATCTGTACTCCCACCTCTGGTCGTTTGGTTTAGTTTGCAGTTCACATGAAAGCCATGATAAGGATTTGTTTTCGCTCTGATTCAGACGTTTGAATCAATACTCTTGATAATCTGATAGTATTTGTTTGCCCTCCTGTCGCAGTCTATTGTATTCATTTTGATGAGATCAAATGATTCACTTCATCATATAGAAAACTAGACTACAGCATTATTAGAACCCGTGGGAGGCTTAACGATAGACTGTATATGACACGGAGGTGCATATAAAAAGGCCTAAAGAGTGTTTAAAACTACACTGCTGTTATTTTAAAAATGCAATTCTGGGTGGTGAAATGTAGGTTACACATTTGTTTGAACATAATAAAGCTAATATAAGTGGGGCCTTTTATTGAAAAAACATCATATGTGTTATAACTATAGTTCATTTTTGCATTTCTTATACTATCTAGAGAAATACTTCTGTCCAAATTGTTAATAGCGTCGTAACATATGGGTCTTTACAATTTGAATTTATGTTATTTGTTTTATACTTTTTTTTTTTTTTAAAAAAGTAAATACCACAAACTCACAGCAGAAACTCACAGAGTTGCTCTGCTTGACTGCAAAATAGACTTTTACTAATTCCAAGCTGGCAACAGCCTTTGATTTTATTGCAACACCTCGACTCATTCTTGCGGTGCTTTCAGGTGCACCTCGGATTTCAGTTGCTCATTTCTTAATCCCACATTCCTGCCCTAAATTGTGAACATGAAAAGACAGAATCCCGTGAACTAATGTGTTTTGATTTATTATTATTTAATAACCGCATTAAGCTAGTATCACAGTAGTGGCATTGTGGAAAAAAGCAAAATCCAGCGAGATAATTATCCTCGGAGTTTCCTGTACTGGATGAAATCTTCTGTACGTGATTTCCGAAACGTCACATCTCGCAGTAGTTCCTGGTCTGTGGACGTTAATGGCTGCGATGCCACATGAAACAGAAACAAAACAAAACAAAAAAACGTCCGCTTTGTAGGGAGACAAATCGCTTTGTGTATTAAATTTAAGAGAGATAAAAGCACAACGCGCTAAGATATAGGAACACCTTTGTTTCAGCGTCCTAATGCACAAAACATGTTCCCACGTGACTTTGCATGGGGAGCGGCGACGTCTGCGTATCAAATAGAAGGTATGTAAACACAAGTTTTTGAATGGAGCAGTGATAACTGTTATGGAGTGGGAGAGAGGGGGTTTTTACATTCCGAGAACCTCTAATGTAATTCGCTTTACCGTGAATACTTTACTTGGTAAATATTGGCGCTATTGACGCTGTAACATGCTTTAAATGAGTGTTTGGTGAAACTTAAGCATGTGTAAAGAAATAGCAGCCATTGCACTGAATATATTGGAGATGCAGATAAATGAAAATTAATTCATCATTTCCTCATTTGTTGTTTTGACATTGGTGTAACAGGGCATTTGGTCTAATGGAGATCTGGTGACTAAACGGGCCTAGGGTCTGTGATTCATATGATTTTCTTATTCACCAAACCATTCGGTGACCTGTATGGCCCATGCATCTATGCACTGTCATCATGGAAGCCAACAACCCCCCATGACGCTTTCATGCCCATGTGCACTGAAGAATATGGTTAAGGCTGGCTCATCTCTCACCACCATATTACTTTTTGTTTTCTGTGACACAGTCTGATCATATCCCATAGTGTTATTGTCAGTCACCTGAGGAAGAATGGCTCTTTTTGTGGTTTTCAAAACTCTAATGCAACAAAAAACCCAGCCGCCTGTTTCCTTCCCCTAACCCCTAACCGGTTGCAGCAGATAGCTGCCCATCCCTGAGCCTGGTTCTGTCAGAGGTTTCTTCGTGTTAAAAGGCAGTTTTTCCTTCCTACTGTCACCATATGCTTGCTCATGTCTGATTCTTGGACATTTCTTTTTATTATTGTAGGACCTTTACCTAACGATATAAAGCAGCTACACGCGACTGTTGTTGTGATTTGGTGGTATATTCTTCTGAACACTGTTTCCGACCTTTACTTGTATTTCTCCCCACATTTTTTGGGTTGTTCCTTACATGTGTCACTTATTTGGCACACATAAAAACAATATTGGCAGACTAATACAGTCTTTAACACACTTATGTAATTAGATGAATGTAAATAACTGCTAGAGTAGATGACGTCTTAGATGCTGTCACAATAAATTCACGGACACTCTAAAAGTCAGAAGGAACATCAGAGTGATATTTCTTTATGTCAACACTTTACCTGTTTTTCTGAACAACCTTTACGCGGTCGTTCAGGTGGCTGGCAATCGGACGGCAAGGGACCGAGTATCTGGGACACATTTTGTCATGAGAAAGGCAGAGTGTTTGGGGACCAGAATGGAGACGTGGCCTGCAACAGCTATGAGCTGTGGGAGAAAGACCTGGAGTGTATCCAGCAGCTTGGGCTGACGCACTATCGCCTGTCTTTCTCCTGGGCCCGCCTCCTGCCTGATGGGACCACGCAACATGTCAATCAGAAAGGTATTTTCATAGACCTGAAACACACATGCTGGAATTAGATCCAGGCCTATTTGATGGCTTTAGGCAATTGTATCTCATTACCCATTTATGGCACTCTCTGTTCAACAGGTGTGCAATACTACAACAAAGTGATTGATGATTTGCTAACCTCAAATGTCTCACCGATGGTTACCCTTTACCACTTTGACCTGCCTCAAGCTCTGCAAGACCAGGGAGGCTGGAAATCACCTGGTATAGCCAGTCTCTTTGACAATTACGCTCAGTTTTGTTTCCAAACATTTGGGGACCGTGTCAAACTTTGGATCACTATCAATGAGCCACAAGTGTGCGCCAAACTGGGACACGAAGACGGCATCCATGCCCCAGGGTTAAAAGAGAAAGGCACTGCTGCCTACCTGGTAGGACATAACATGCTGCGGGCCCACGCCATGGCCTGGCACAGCTACAATTCTCGCTACAGGTCAGAGCAGAAAGGTGCCGTGTCTATTGCCCTCAACAGCGACTGGTATGAGCCATTAAACCAAGGTTGCCCCAGGGACATTGCTGCTACTGAACGTGACCTTGCATTTCAACTGGGATGGTTCGCCTGGCCCGTGTTTGTTACCGGTGATTATCCAGAAATAATGAGATCTGCTATAGATGCTCAAAGTAGGAAGCTAGGATACAATGCAGGCTCAAGGTTCCCCAGTTTCTCCAAGGATGAATCTGCCATTCTGGGAACTGCCGACTTCTTTGCGTTGAACTACTACACGTCTCGCAAAGTCAAACCAGGAGGAGGTTGTGAAAAGATGTTGTGTATAAAGGGAGATCAAGATACAGAGGAAGTTTTGGATTCATCCTGGCCCATCAGTGGACTGTCCTGGCTGGCTGTAGTGCCAGATGGCTTGAGGAAACTCCTAAAGTACATTAAGGTAAAACTTTTTCTTAAAAATCTTTTTTTTTCTTTTGGTTACAGTCTGTGTGGGGCAGCCAATCAGAAGAAAGTTTCCTTAAAAAGTGGGGGGAGGGAGTATAAAGCGCTTGTTTCAGATAAATGATTGACTAAGATAATTCACCAGTCCCGGCATAACATAAATAAGGATTATTTTAAACTGTGAGCCATGCGCAGCTACTGCAGTAGAGTCCAAAAATGTAAAAATGCACAATTTTACGCTAATATATTACACTAAAAATAACCCAAACCAAGGGCCGACCAAATCTTTTCATTCCAGTTTGGATTCACCTTGCGGAAAAGTAAAGTCGGTGCTCAAAATGAATTGACCAGCAACAAGATAGATCACCTTCAACCGTACGAGGAGAACACTGGCATTTGTTTAGTGTCTCACTATTGATTTTGCATGCAGCAATCTCTTTTCGACACCTCCAGAAACACACTGATGCTTCATTAGTGCTGTCACATTGAATGAAACAGTTACTTTGCTGAAAAGTGTTTGCAAACGAGCAATTTCCTGCTGTTGTGACTTGTCACACGCCATTAGTCTGAGCCTGGCACCGTTGAAACGCAGCTGAACGGCACACTGTAGACCAATCTGTCTCCCCCTGGAATGTCTGACAGGCTGTGATGCCTTGTTTGACAATAATATTTGCCCTATGACTTTGCAGGACACTTTTAACAACCCGGCGATCTACATTACAGAGAACGGTTTCTCTCAGGTGGGGCCACTGCAGATCGAGGATGCACAGCGCTGTGTGTATTACAAGGACACCATCTCAGAAGTGGCAAAAGGTAATGGCTAGTAAATCGGGACTGCATAAATCCTGCGTATTTAAAAAATTAAAAGCATGCGAATCGGGAAAATAATGGTTAAAATATCATTTAAATTCTGCAGCTTCTCCAAATTGACAAATTTAGTCTTGTTTAAAACAAAAAAACATTTAATTGGTTTGATGTACCTTTAATCTTCTTGCTATCATTTATCATAAATTTGGTTTCCAAAGACTGTTTGTGTTGTATCAAAAGGTTTTTATTTACCTCACATTAAAGAGGGGTACCCACTGCGGTAAAGTTAATACTTGTTTCATTACCATTTCATTTCAGATGCCTTTGACTGCGACACTATAGATACAAGCGTTACACATACGTCTGCGTGTATCGTATGCCTATGTTGTTTCTGCTAATCAATTTTTAGTGCATTAACACTTTGGGGTCACTGGAATGTGTTGTGATTCAGATCTGTGAGTGTTCATCAAACAGCGACGCCAACTGATTACTTTTATGCAATGAATATGTCGTTTGCAGAGAGAAAGATAAATACACGCGTCTTTATTATCCATCTGCTTGATGTTTATGAACAGCAGTTTTTGCTATATATACTTTTTGCTAGTACTTTAGAATGATCCTTTTGTCACATATCATGATACTAGTCATGGTTTAATTAGATGGCTCTATGTAACTCCTTTCTTCTGTCCTTGTATAGCTATACAAGAAGATGGGATCAACGTCCGTGGATATTTTGCATGGTCTCTGATGGATAACTTTGAATGGGCCGATGGATTCAGCGTTCGTTTTGGCTTGTTCCACGTGGACTTCAGTGATTTGAAGCAGAGTCGAACTTTGTACCAATCTGGACGGGAATATGCAAAAATCATCTCAAAATCCCGATGTGGCCAGTCTAAATAAGAGTAGCTGGAAAAATGTGTGTTACTATGTGAATTATGAACATGCTTTTGTTTTCAAGTTTTTAAGTATTGCCTATGAATTTTTTTGTAGTTTAAAAACAAAACAGCTGGTGAATTGTCTCAGGAGTATAATTTCTCACTCGCCTTTATGATGTGAAGACAGGAACAAAATAAGGTTATGTTAATTCAGTGGTATTTAAATCGGTATCCTGCCGAATCCCAACTCATTGCAGATAAGGAAGGTTTATACAGAACCAGCGAGCTGTAAGGCCCTGCAATTGCTTCATGGGGCTAGAGAAGAACTTATGAAGATCCCAACAATAATAACGGCATTATCACTGTGAATGACTTTATTGTGCGTACATGTATTATGTGAAGGCTGACCTGTTCTGGCGGTCTGTTTACATATTTAAGATCTTATCTTTAGCTTAAATCTACCAGCAAGAGTCACGTGACTGGAATCTGCGAGATATCTTGCATTGATGTCTTGAATTGTTCTCTGAATAGTTGTGATTCACTAAAAGGTTGAAGGTCTGTAGCTGTAGTGACACAGGTATGGGAAAACATGCTCTGCAGTTTCACTTTGTGATGTGAAAGGCTGTTTCCTGTTTACAGACGTAACGCACACAGTGCACATGCCCACATGACGATAACAGTACCTGAGGAATGACAGGCGTCCTAGAGAAACCACAGTCTCCACAGTTGCATTCCTTAAAATTGCAGGCAATTTTAAAGCGCTAGAAGCAGTGTCAGTATGAGCAATAATGTGATTATATCAATGAAAGCAGTGATTTATGACCGCAAATTGTCTCAGTGAGCTCACTGAAGACGGTGTCGAGACAAAGGAACGCGCGGAAATAAAGCCTTTTTCAGTGACACATCAAAGCCCATAGCTTACATTTATTTGGAATAAAGACTGATTGAGCAGATGCTTCACTTCTTTGACAAGATTAAACAAATACCGTAGTTTAGCTGCTGTGGGGGTAACAAGTATAATTAGTAACCCCTTTTCTAACCACCTGCCCTATCAATGGAAAGGATGCGACATAAGATAAAAGGCAGTACTCATCTTAGTTATGATAATGTCATCTGGGTGCATAAAGAGCATTTCAGCACACTCAGAAGGCATGCCAGCTGAAAGCAACAGATGTCCTGCCACAGGAAGTGAGCATAATACAATTTGTGTTCCCCGGACAGCTGTGCAAATGAACTACTTTTAGAGGGAAAAATCAAACAAGGAAAACACCCTGAGGCAGTCTGCTGATTCATTGTGAATGCCGTGGTTAAGGTTAAGGATTATTTGGATGCTGTATTGAGCAAACTATACTGCTGTGGAGCTTAATGAGGGGCTTAATGAGCGCTGCTGAATTCCAGGTTTTGTACTGCGGGTGTGTACATGCATCTGATTCAGCTACACACCTGTGAAGGGGAGGACAACCGGAGAAGAAGAGCGGTTTAACAGCGTCTGTTTGTGAGCCTGCAGTGCCACCTCGTGGTGCACAGTTGCAGTACAGCGCACCTCAGCGTGTACGGCTTTTTATGTGCTGCTCTCATTAATAAAGCGCGTGCTGTTGGCTTAACAATAAGCAAGTGAAGGAGCTTTCTAACTACAATACATCATATATTTAATACAATTAATATTTATGCTCCGACGTGAAGGAAAACGCCATTTATATACTGTGTTGGGAGACTTTGTTTGCATTAATAAGCATTGTGTATCGCGACATCCAGTTGGCTGTGCTTACTGTTCTCAACAGATGTGAATAATACCCTCGTGGCCCTCCTCCATCTATGTCAAGCCGAGTGAGAATCTCCTTTGTCTTCTGATGAATAACAAGCTATTGTGGAAACATGAATAATGCCACTGCCGCTCGGATTAGAGCTTCTTTGCAGGCTGCTTTTGAGCACAAGCTTGAAGCACATTTCATAGCATCTGACAAAGTTCACGCAGTGTCGGCGGCAGTGCCGGTGGCCTTGACGGAGCGGAAAACGTCGAACTCGTCAGGTGCAAACACACAACTCGATTCCAGGTGAAATTTAAAAAAACAAAATCAAAGTGAAAAGTGAGGGAAGTTTGAATCATATTTCCCATGATTCTTCACTGCAGCCCATGGGCAACATAATTCCCAGCTAAGAGTTGATTAGTAATTCCAGCACCTGTCTCCCAGTATTGATGGATTCCATCTTCCTTTATCACGGCGTCGAGCTAGCTGCACGGCTGAAAGAACCTGCACTGCTGCCGAATTGATTGAATGGAATACTGTATGAGCAAGAGGTTACTCTGCACTTAGTGAATGTTGAAATTAGCCATTTGTGTGTGTGTGTGTGTGTGTGTGTGTGTGTGTGTG